ACTCCTGGAGCGCTGGAGCAAGCAGCTGCAGCTCAGCTGTAGACTTTTACTAGGACACAATCCATTGATTATTCTGTTGGGGGAAAGACCCAAAATCAAGGTACATGTGTTTTTTTTCCTGAATCAACTTTAAATGTAGACTGACTCCATACCATATTATATTATTTTTTCAACAAATTAAAGATAAACTGAGAAACAGTGGGAGAAAATGAAACTTATGCTTTAAGTGTTTGAATGAATTCTAGATCATTTGAGAAGCCAGGTGCTGATATCAGCATTTTGAAGTGTGAGATCTTTTCTGAAAGAGCCTAAGTGTTGGAAGGCTGCAGACCATGTAGTTGTGTGAGTAATAAGGACTGCATTTTCTAACACCTCTTGTTAGAAAATATAGTGACGCTATTTCCAAACAATTAAAATTTGTAATTGTACAGTAAGATCAATGGTTTACAACCAGAAAGATCTCTATGTCAACACAATATTTGAAGAAGATCATCCTCATGTGACCTGTCAAGGAAGGCAGTGAAGGGCTGAACTACAGAATCTGAGAACTGAAAGTTTTTAATATATTAAATGATCTTAAAAACTGATTTGCAGATGTGGCAGAAAAATTATTTCTTTTTTACTTGTCTAAATGTGACATCTTTTCCCCCATGTCAATATCCACTCTGTAAAAACTTTTCTTCAGGAGTTTTGTCACCGTTTAAAGACTGTTAAAGTAGATGTGGACTCTTCAGGGAAGAAATGCAAAGAGAGGATGATGAAGGTTCTTGCTGAGACCCCATATTCTTCCCTCTGTCAACATAGGTATGCATCATAAACCTGCAACAGAGAAATTCAGACATTTTGGGACTCTGCGTTGGATATCTCAGTAGTATTTACACTTTTCTCATGGCCTTTCTTTCTCTCAGTCTGCAGGGATTTGTAGTGAAGGACTACAAGTCATTATCAGAGGTGACTGCTGTCTTTGAGGAGCTGAACCTGGCTGAGCTTTACCAACAGATGCTGCCTACATTAAGCGGCTAGGAGAAGAACTGTCCTTAGGTCTATTTATATTGGATTCATAGAACTACATCTAATATTAGTTTTTTATTTGAGCTATTCATTTTGTATCAATAAGTATTGCTTTAAACTTCTGTTCTACCTTTGTCCTGCTAATGTAGTCTCTGTTACATTCAAAGACATTATCATTAAACAGGAATTAGAACAGCCCTGCTCTTCAAACCCCTATCATTTTGAATGTGTCCTGTCTCATACTGAAGAAGTCAGAATTGTTTTCTGAGGGTTATTGAGAGGCCCAATAGATTTACCTTCACAAGTGGAGTTTTATATAACTATAAAAAAGTACATTAGAAATAGCTTTGAACTAATTTCAAATGCAATTAACATGAAAAAAAGAACTGATCCTTGGTGGGTTACAAGTCTAGGTTTGGTGATTGCCAAGAAAATAGTACTTATCTGACTGCATTGTGTAAAGATTAGTGGAGGGAGGATTATGGTGTGGGGTTGGTATTCATTAGCTTGGCTTGGCCCCTTAGTTCCAGTGAAAGAAACTGAATGCTTCAGCATACCAAGATATTTTGAAAAATTCCATGCTCCCAACTTTGTTGGAACAGTTTGGAGCTGGCCCTTCCTCTTCCAACACGACAATGCACCACAGCACAAAGCAAGGGATGAACAAACACCTTTGTTTATCCCAAAGGTGTTCTATTGAATTACAGTGGAGACTGAGAGCCAGGCCTTCTCGTCCAACATCAGTATGTGACCTCACAAATGCACATCTGGAAGAATAGTCAAAAATCCCATTAGACTCCTAAACCTTATTCACAGCCTTCCCAGAAGAGTTGAAGCTGTTATAGCTGGAAAGGGTGGACCCACATCATATTGAACCATATGGATTAGGAATGGGATGCCACGTAAGCTCATATATAGTGTATCTGCCTCATATGTATTATACTTTAAGGTAGCCATATTACTAAGATCTAGTGTGAGAACTGCTGTTACATGGTGCATGGTGGCTGCTGGTGAACCATGTGCACTGTGTGAAAAGGCTATACTCCTGAACTCAGCTGTATGTCTCTATCCTATTTCATATGAACTTTTGGTTCAAGTAAGACCAGTAGTGCCAAAAAATCTTTTTAAAAAGAGTTCTGTCATATTTCATATATTGCTTTTGTCTTATTTTGCTTGAATTGTTTTCTTTTCCTTTTATGTCTTTTTTTTTTTTTTTTCAAACTTTCTTGTTAAAGCTGTTTTTACGTTGATGCACTGCTGGTGAAAATCTAATTCCCCAGTTGAAACTTCCTTAGGGATTAATTGAGTTCTATCTAATCAAATCTAATTTAATCTAATCTAATCTAATCTAATCTAATCTAATCTAAATTGTTCCACCCAAGAATGATAGGGGAAGTTGAGCCAGTGGTGCAGTCATTTTATGTGTCTGGTGTTATTGCAATTTGTCAGCAGTAGAGGGAGTAGTAATACTATTTGTCACTGTCTTCAAATTCATCTAATCGTGGTTCAGTTGTCTGAAGGGGAAACAGAAAACAGTTTTTGATTAAGGTGAATTCACCTGTATTGTCATGTGCAAGATCAATTTGACCTTATATATTATTTCATCTGACTGGAGTTGAAGAGAAGTGAGTGGAAAACCACAGAAGTGCAGCAGAGGTGCAGAAAAACTCTTAAGAAAGGTAACAGGCCTCTAAGTGGATGCAGCAAAATATGCCAAAATAGCCCATATGTTTGCCACTATAAGTCCTACTGCGACATCTGAACTGCCTGGAACTTAACCCACTCAAGACTGGGGAGATAATAGAATAATTCTGGAGAACACCCCTGAGGATAGTGAGGAATGGTCCTTTACCACCCTCAACAATACTGTGAGGAATCTTTATGGGTCCTTAGAATCTGCCACAGGAGCTGCTGCTCATCTTCTGCACAGCCAGGGCTGAGGTGCTCTCCACCCAGGACTTGTTTAGGTCAAGGGTCAGGAAATGTGCAGCTATTACCTTTGCAGACCCCACATATCTTGGATTCTATAACATCTGCCAGGCAGAACAGACCCAACTAAGCAGGCAGGACAGTATTAACAACAAGAAAAACTCCTAGTTTAATCTGCCAGTGGAATTTTGAAATGAATAACTGTACTGCTGGTCTTTTTCTTGGGACTGTGTGTTAATGTAAGAAAGAAATAAAAACTTATGCCATTATTGGGAAAGACCAGTAAATAAAATGAACATTTTAAACACTGAAATGTTCATTTTGAACTGCTGACAAGTAGCTGTTGAAAATGTTCAACAGACACTTTTCTATCCATAAAACTAAGAGTTTTTATGGATAGAAAAGAAGTAACGCATCCAACAAAAAATATTTTCACATTTCATCCTGTGCTTAGTAAGTTTATTTCTGCAATATGTAAAAAGCTTTTCCACGGCACAGTTTCTACAAGTGACTAAAGAGGTTTCTTTTAATCCAGATACAAATGCAGCTCTGAGGAGGAAGTGAGTGCTCCACCTTTAGAGATCATGTTGCTTCTCTGTTGAATAATGTTGCCTACATACAGCAAACCAGAGGGACTGAAATAATACATGATGCTGTCTCTGAGTGGTACTAGATTTCTGCCACTTGTCAGAACGGGGGGTTTTTTTTGTTCTAAAGTGATAAAGAACAGCTTTGCTGTTATACTAATGTACAGTAAATGTGCCAGGTAGGTTGAATTGTTGAGTTATGCAAGGCTTTCAGCTCTCTATAATGGTACAATACTCAGGAATGTTGTGTAACAGATTTGTCCTCCCCCCCCCCCCTTTCAATGTGGACCCATATACTTTCACTGTCACTGGTCCATTTGCATCCATGCACTTTAACCTTCCCTTGCAGTATTGCAGTGATTAATTCACCTCTTCAGTAAAGAGAGGTAGTGAGAGTTTCTGTCTCTTTTTTTTTCAGACTTTTTGATTATATTAAGTGTGCCATTTTTCAGCAGTTCAAATTTGAAACTGGGAATTCTGTTTTAGCCTTTGCTTGTTTTTGGCCTAATAAAAAGAATCCAACCCTTACCCAATGAAGGTTCTAGTTCTGGAAAATAAAATCAACAACAAAGTCATGTCTTGTTGCTGCTTAAGTTAGCTGTGTGTGAACAATAAGATGATTTCACATCTGCCTTACCTGGACTGCTGTTGAAACTCAGAAGGTGTCAGTCAAATTGAACATTTCAACCTCATCTTGTTCCTGTCAGTCAGACTATATGGAAAGCTGTAAAAATGTCCTGAATGCCCTGTTACCTGGTTTATAATTTAATCTTCAATTATAGAAACAGAAAATATATTTTTGATTTTTTTAAGGGTAAAAAAAATATTCTACGAACAACAGTGCAAATTTCAAAGCGATGTTAAAAATCAAAGCTTTGGGGCCCTGAATGGTGTAACAGCAGGGCGGTTTCCGTTCATCCTGAACAGAAACAGTTGTGTTTCTTCCCTTTCTCTCTGCTTGTTTTTTCATTGATGTCAATAATAATCCCTAATGACACAAATAATTCTGTTTATCATTATTGTTATAATGTGTTGATTTCAAATAGACAGGAAAATGTATTTGTTTACCAGCATTTTGTTAGTACAATATCTAGATGCTTCTAGATATTGTACTAACAAACATGGACATGGACACTGAAATGTTTCTTTTCACCTTAAGTTCTATTGAAACTTTAAGGGCAATTTTTCATGAAATAGCCAAATTAAATGTGACTTGATTTGCTGACTGGCTGTTATTTGGTGTCCTAAGGCATCATGCTACTGCTTTTTTAGTTTAGACCCATTAAACAGATGACCAAATGATTGTGAAAAAGTTGAACAGAAACAGAAGTGATATGAATCTATTATAAGGCTCCCAGAGGAACACTTTTAATTTTGTCAAACAGTTTGTTTTAAATGTGTGTGCCTGTCAGCACATGGACAGTGGTGTGTATTTGATTTTAGGATCTTATGAATAAAAGAATAAACTGAGTCCTCCAAACATATGGCTCTTTATTTAACTGCAAACAAATATTATGACAATAAACCAAAAGAAATATCTATTAACAATGAACAGTTTTTGCACTCTCATTTTTTAAACAAATTAATGTAAAGAAAAGAATGGTTTCTCAATCTAACCTGTTGAATTTCAATACAAAATACAAACATTTGTGATAAAGAGCAAAACTGCTGAACTACCAGAACAATACACGTTCTTGTTTTTTATTCCAAAAGGAACAGTCATGAAATGTTCCTATTTAATACAGTAAATGTTTAACTTCCTTGAGAGAGTTTACTCTGTTCACAAAATATCCAGTTCTGTTATTTATAGTGTAAGTGGAGTCAATAATGACTGCTATTTTCCTTGTACTTATTATCAGTGTTTGACTCATTCACAGTACATGCTTCCAGGCTCCAGACCAGCGCCTGGCTGTGGTTTTACGCTCTGTCAGTTTCCTCTGAAACACAAACAATATGACAGCAACAGCTCTGCTAACAACAGCCCCAAGATCACATTTCTTTACAAGGAAGCCACAGAAACTGAGAAAGTCTTTCAGTCTTCGGCCACTTTTTGTAGTTTTTTTTCTCAATTTCATTGTTCCACAGTCACTTTACCACTGTTAATCATAAAGTAAATAAACTTTTGCATTTCATCAGGCCCTTTGTGCTCAGGGGTGACCCTGCTGAGCTCCTTTAACACTGCATATCCCTCAGAAAACAGAAATGGGATGTTGCACACATATAGGAAGGGAGGAAAATCTTTGGTCAATATTGGCAGCATAAAACACAGAACAACTGGAAAGATCAATCATAGAATAGTAAATATGGTCACACTCTAAACACTAACACTTAAATAATGCTGCTTACTGAAGTATTTTTCTGATAAATTAAGTGCCATATGTAGGATCTGTCTGATGACAGTATTCAATAAATCCATAATATTCAGCTTCCTGATTCCGTCATCACAGGGAGAACAAAAGGGAAAATGTTTCTGTGGTCTGAACTGGAAATCAGGGTTAAAGAAAACAGAACGATATCAGTTCCACTTTACAACAGGACGACTTACATTAATGTAGACGATTTTTTGCACACACACTGATTGTACTTTAATGAGTAAACACTGACAGGAATGTCGTTTCATTTTACACAACACATGAATTTCTAACTGTATATTCTTTTTGCTTGATTTCACTTTTTTTTGCCAAACATACAGTATTTTGGTGGATTGTGTTCATATTTAAAAAGTGCTAATTAGTAAGTCTTCTCTCTGCCCCACCCCCCATCACCTGCTTGCTGCCATTTGAACCCAGATCTTTATTCGTGTTTGGCGGTGGCCCCTGAGGTAACACAAAGGTTCTTGTGCAGGTTTGGGTTCTGACTATGTCTGTTTCTACTCCGTACAGAGGAGAAGGATGTGTCACATCCTGGGACCTTACACTTGTGAAGAAGTCGCAGATGGACCGTCTTGTAATGAGCCCGGAATGTTCCTTTGTTGCTGTACACCTTTTGGCAGACGTGGCATGTGATGGGAGACCCCGCCCCTTGATGTCTGTTTTGCCCACTCCTGCTACAGCCTGTGTTTCTGTGTCTCCCCGCTGCCCCCTCTTCATCGTCTGACCTCCTCACACCCAGCCCATCACAGCTCTCATCGCTGTCCTCTATGGGGAGGACCTCCTCATCCTCTTCTCCTTCCTCTTCATCACTCTGAGCTTCATCTGAGTCCCAGGAAGACTGAGCGCTGCCACTGCCACAAGGTAGGACTGAGGTCGAGGTGCTCAGGTCAAGGATCGTCCCATCATTCCCATTTCCACTTCCATCTGCTTCTCCTAATCCCTCCAACTCTTGCAGGGGGGAAGTCTCAGCACTGCTAAGTGCAGCAGGTGCCTTGCTCATAGGAAACACTAGTCCCATGCGGTTGTGTCCTCGGAAGATGACTGAGGTCTGACATGTTGGGTCTCTGTGTAGCGCGTCTTTGTCCTGCTGGTTTTGTTCAGCCTCCAGGCCTTCAGAGTCTCTGTCTTTGTAATATGATGAGGAGTAGGAGGACGCGGCTGTGCTGAGGGAGTCTTTGGTCAGCAGCTTATGATGTAGGTTTAGATTTGCACTGTGTCTGGAGAAGAAGAAATAAATGTCATTATGGTGTTTCTGTATTGGCTGGAGAATATTTTCTTATTAAACCATGTGCAGATGAAATAGAACTGCAGTTTACTTCTTTTCACTGCCTATCTGTAGTGCTGGGTAAGAGGCAGGATACACCCTGGTCACATCACAATTTATAGATGGAGATTGATAACTGTTTCACATGTTACACTTATGTTATATAAGTATAACATAAGTGTATACTTATATACACTCATGTTAATAAGTATACATCAGATGAATTGACCATCAGATGAAAAAAACAATTCAATATATCTAATCTCAATATGGCATAATGTTTTTCTTTTATTTGCACATATATAGTCAAATTCAGTATTTTAGAATATGTATTCTAAAGGCACAATGGTGTAGTTGGTAGCACTGCTGCCTTACAGGAAGAAGGTCCTGGGTTTAATTCCCAGCCTGGGGTCTTTCTGCATGGACTTTGCATGTTCTCCTTGTGCATGGTGGCTTCTCTCTGGCTTCCTCCCACAGTGCAAAACATGACTGTCATATTAACAGATCTACCTAAATTCTCGTTAGATGTGCGTGCATGCATGATTGTTTGTCCTGTCTGTCTCTGTGGTGCCCTGCGATGAAAGGGTGATCTGTCCAGGGTGACTCTGCCTCTCACCCTTTGACCTCAGGAGATAGGCACCAGCATCCCAGGCAACCCCCCTGGGGATAATCATGTAATATAATGGTTGGTTGATTGGTTGATTGGATGGATGCATCCATCAATGGATGGATGGATGGATGGATGGATGGATGGATGGATGGATGGATGGATGGATGGATGGATGGATGGATGGATGGATGGATGAATGGATGGATGGATGGATGGATGGATGGATGGATGGATGGATGGATGGATGGATGGATGGATGGATGGATGGATGGATGGATGGATGGATGGATGTGTTTTAATGCGGCCTATCTGTCAGATTACACATACCTTTTAAAATAACAACCTTTAAGCACATATTAAACACACTTTTTCTTAAGCCCACATAAGTTTAAAAAAAGTTTTTCATTGGTCTGACGTATTACCCTAATATTAATGTAGTGTTTTACAAGGCTAAAAGCAGAAAATACATATATGAAAAATTAATATTTATTATTTTTTAATGTTCATTTGATGAATTGAGTGACTGAAATAAATGAACTTTTCGGTGATTTTCTGGTTTACTGACTGGGTCTGCAGACCTGGGGTTCAGGTCAGGACCTCCAAGTACATCCAGTCATGTGCATGGCAATATTTTCAGAGTGTACAGTTTTCTTAGGCCCCTTCAGATTGCACTTTCAATCCACAATCAACTCATTCTTTAAGGCTGGTGAGCAGTTTGGTCTTTTGTTAGAAGGCTAAGAAAAACATAAAGCTACTTCACCTGTCTCGGCTTCTTCGGGACGGGAAAGCAGCATTGCAGCCATCCACTGTGCACATGTGCATCTCCTTCAAGTGGATGTTTTGGTAGTGGATCTTGACACTGTATGGGTTTTTAAAGGTCTTACTGCAGATCTCACAGTGGTGTGGAAGGTTAGCATCAGGTTCAAGGTGAGACAGCCCTGAGATCCCATAATCTTCTTCACATCTATCAAGCCCTTCCTTTTCATCCAACAGGAGACCACCCCCATTGGTCAACCTGTGCCCAGATTCATCCCATTTATGCTGTGGGATCTTGTCAACTTCAAGCAATGAATCTGAATGTTCAATGTCAGTTCTATCTTCAGTGCAAGTGGATTGCTTACCAGCTGAGATTTTGTAGCTAGCATTGGGACTCTTTTTCAATGAGGATGGTGAAACAGTGATGACCCGTGTTTCTTTTTGTTCTGGTCTGTCATATTCATCATTCCTTTCAATTGAGTTTCCAGCAAAGGTTTGGTCTATCAGATGCTTGCTACCATCCCTTTCCTTTTCTTTATCCATGTAATCTTGTCTTGCCTCTTCAGATTTTTCATTGCACACATGCACTCCTTCATGGTTACCCTCAAAGTCATCCTTTTCCCTACATTGCAGAGGAACCTCCTCCTCCGATAGGCTTCCCTTATCCATCTCCTCATCCTGCTCTATTACCTCCTTCTCTATTTTTATTGGCATACTTGACTTCCGTGATTTTTTCTTTGGTATAGGATCTGTCATACAAGGTTCTGGTGTTATGATGGGTTTGACAGTTACAGAAGATGATAAAATTGGAAGAGAAGGTAGTGTCCCTGGGGTGTTAGCAAGTTCTGCTGGGGTTACCAGGCTTCGGTAGAAAGGCAAGACTGGCTGTACTGTTTTTAAGTTAGGGAAGAGGATGCCAGTTTGGCCCATGCTGGAGAAAGAATTACTATGGAGCTTAGGAGCAGTGTCCACATGGCTCACCATGAAGCTGGGAGCAGACTTATGGCTTTCTGAGGAAGAGATGGAAATGTTGCTATATTCAGCTCTCTTTTCTCCTTGTGAACTTTCATCAGCAGACAAGCTTCCTCGTAAATCTTTGTCTCTGTTGTTCCGGTTCATGGGCATGTGTAGCCGGGGGTTTGGGTTAGCGCTGTGCCGATTGCGACTACGCAGCGAGCTGAAGACCATGTTGCAGCCCTCAATGGTACACTTGTGTTTAATCTTCAGATGAACTGCATTATAATGAATTTTCAGTGTGCCTTTGTCATAAAATGTTTTCTCACAAGCGTTGCAAAACACACGGCCTTTTTTCAGAGAGCCTGCAGTCCCCGATGCCCCTCCAGTGCCGCTTCCACTCCTGTCCAGAGAGCGCAGCTTCCCCTCAGGAGACATCTGAGGAACATCAGAGGTCATAGACGGTGTGCATGGGGTTGATGAGCCATCTGAGTAGTTGTCACTGGTGGAGAAGTCTTCTGCTTCAATCTTTGCTGTTGTGGAGGGTGTGTCCATTGTTCTTTCACCGGTTCGGTCCAAATCAGAAGCATATGAGATGGAGCTTGAACCTAGCAGGCTGCTCTCTGAAGGATGAGGGAGATGGAGGGGGTTGTCCCTGCCAATATTGTCTCTCACTTCATCTTTACTCTGAAGCTGCTGCTCATCTGAAGCACCACATGGATGCTGCTGGTGCTGTTGATGCTGCTGGTGCTGCTGGTGCTGATGTTGCATTGACCCTGGTGGTGAACCTAAGAATGGTGCAGGCACAGAGCCTAACAGCTGGAATGGAAGCATGAAGGCCATGCTATTGATGAAGTTCTCAAAGTGGTGCATGCTGTTGCCACTAATCTTTTCAACCTTAGTTGCGGAGAGACTGGCAGTAGAGCGAGGAGTGTTCCGCTCAATGAAGGTGCGGATGTCTGAGTTTGTGCGTGTGCTGGGAACCAACACCGCCTGCCCCTCCTTGTCCTGTAAAGACATAAGCTCCACTATAGACTTGGTTTCACCAAAACGCAGAAACTGCTGCAGAGTAGCAATCTCCTCCTCAAAGGTCATGATGGCCCACCGGTCCAACACTTTACCAGCAACATCCTGCAGGCAGAGCAGAAAAACGAGGGAAATGTGTGAGGATGTTATCATGACATAGATAGAATGAGAAAAATAAAAGGGGAGAAAGCAATTTCATCAGCAGCATTAAAGCTGTATGTTGAGTTGCTCATACATATTCACAGAGCAGCTTGTATGACACATCCTATAAAACAGATTGGCAGCAAGGCTGAAGGAAGGAATCAGAACAAGTGTGTATAGAAGTGAGCGGTGAAGAACCCTGAGTACAGCCTACTTCAGGTCCGTTGTCTTCATTTAGTTCTCCACTTTTACCATGAAAAACTAAAAGTGTGCATCTCATGTCTCACACACACATTCTACTGCATAAAGTGTCAGACACAGTCTCAGTGATCTAGCAGGTCCGGCCAGCATTAATCACATGTGACTCTGAGAGGCTTTGAAAGTGAAGAGAAGCTTCCTGCCGTAACCAGGATTAATATTTTATCACACAGCATTCGTTGGGTGTCTGTCGAGGATTCGGACTCTACATTTGCTATTAAATAAGCGAACATAAATGAAATGCAGCCCGGCTTGAATTCTTGATGATGCACAAATTGAAGTGAGATCTTGTGCTGTCACAGAGCCTGCAGGCTGGCTCTAGGCCGGCTTGGCAACAGCTTCACTTAAATTCTGTAGCAAAAGACATAATATTTACAAATCTATCAACTTAGTATGGAGACTTGTCTGAAGTGGGGGTAGCATAGCAATAAACAAGCAGTGGCATATTTCAGGGGTCGAGTGGCTACATTTCATCTCCAAAGGCTTTCCACCTCCCCCACGGTACACCCCCATTTATCAGGAAGATTTCAGTCTTATCTGCTGCCTGACCTAACGCTATTCATTGATGCTTCTCAGGGGTCAGACAAACCATATTGTCTATCAGTCCATCTGGAAATTATTTGTACTTTGAGCAGAAAATGTGTTTTCTTAATTTCTTCCTCATTAAATTCTCTAGACTGCATGAACTGCATGACTGTTGTTGTTTTTCCTAGGCAAACTAAAACTCTGCTCCACCAGACTACCCCAAAGAAGGAATAAAGCAAACAATAAAGAAAAGATGATTTGTGATGTTTTTGTTCAAAATGTTACAATATGCTCTAATAGTGATAATTTAGCCATTTAAGAAGTTTTTAGCTTTGTAAGGAGACCTGCAGACTAGCTTTTGGAAATGTGGATGACACAATACACAAGTCAAAATTCTTGTGTGAAATTTTTTTTATCATTATTAATTTTTTTTTTATTGGAGCTGAAATGATTCTCAGTTAATTTAGAAATTGATCAAAAGTTAACTGGAGCATAAAGACTCAACGAGAATGAGAATATATATATATATATATATATATATATATATATATATATATATATATATATATATTTAATGCTGCTGATGAAATATATATATATATATATATATATATATATATATATATATATATATATATATATATATATATATATATATATATATATTTTATTTTTTAATTCTGTTTAAAAAAATTTCCTACAATCCAAAATGATATTGACCAAGTCAGTCATACACTGTAATTACATTATGCAGGAAGGTTTGAACTTTTCATGTTGATGTCAGAAGGATTTTAACACATGCATCTTTTGCAAAATATGATCAAATCTTGACTAAAAGAACGCTGTCGTTTTGTTTTAAGCTATAAAAATATTTATCTTATCATTTAGCAAAATAAATGAAATGTTTCTTTATTTGCGCCTTAATAGAATAGAAGATACTTTATTGATCCCCAAGGGGAAATTACATATTAGTTGACAATGTCAGGTTTATAAAAATATAAATATACCTAAGAGTGATGTAAGTAATTTAATAAATAAATAACAAGCATACACATTTAAAAATTTGATTAATCATCAAAATAATCAATCACTAAAATCATTGGTGCAGCCCTAGAGGTTATATTATTATATATCTTTAGAATCATAACATACATAAACCCAAACACATGACTTATGATTTCCTAGCTGTACCATCCATCCATTTTCTGAGCACCCTTCTCCCTAACGGGGTCGGGAGGTGCTGGTGCCTATCTCCAGCTGCGTTCCGGGCAAGAGGCGGGGTACACTCTGGACAGGTCGCCAGTCTGTTGACCTTGGTTGTGCCAAGGTCACAAAAACACATTGTTCTGTTCTCAAGTTAAATGTAGTAAATTGTACATGAAAACCAGCTAAAGACAGGATTTTTAACAGAAACAAATAACAGCAAGTCGATCCAGCTAATCAGAGTAAACCTCTGCCGGAACATAAAATCTGTCTGTCTGCAATAATCCATTCATATATTCCCAGTGGTGTTATTTTGACAGATTTTTTTGTCTTAGATGAAAAAGAGCCTCTCAGCTCCACACAGCCGTCCCGGTCTGCAGACACTCCAGAGACAACCTGAGGCCTCGGCCAGCTCTCGAGCTGCTCCCCTCCTTTCTGGTTGCTAACCTGAATACAGCTAACACCTCCAGGACTGCAAAATTTTAACAACACAAATCTGTTTCTGGGTAAACAATCCTGAGAATGGAATGCAATAATTATCCAGCATGAACTCATATTCCACTGATAGCATTTAGATAGAGAGAGAACAGGCTGCTCTCTTCACCAGCAGCCTGTTCTGCTACGGACATCAAAAGATTTCAAATAAAAAAACAAAATGCGCTCCATCAAATACACAGAGTTAAATTACAGTTATAATTATATTACAGTTAGTAGCCAGTTATTTAAGAACTAGGAAAGTTTGATGAATTGATTTTTCAGGGAAAACTCAGGGCCACTTGTGAGTTACACACCTTCCCACTTATGTGTTCAGTGCAGTCATTTAGCCAGTTTTAACAATTTCAAATTATTTTAATGGAAAGGGAACCAAAAGTAATCCACACCAAAAATTCATGTGAAAAAGTGATTTTTCACATGAACAGTCATGAACAGTCGCAGGAAAAATCCATCAGGCCTCATTAAAACTGAAACATTATTGGACAGACAGACTGGATGAATCAAGTTCCAGATTCCATGAACAGGTTGTCTCACCTGGAGCACGTATCCCCTGATGTAGTCCTGAAGTGTCCAGTCCAATGCGTTGAGGATCTGGATGACCTCCTCCTGTTTGAGGACAGAGAAAAGGCGGTCCAGGAGGATTTTGAGCCGGATCGGGATGGCTTGGGTGCCGTACAGCATCAAGCTGCAGATATCAAACACTACGTTGGAATGCACGATCTCCACCTGGCTACTCTGGAACATATGGTGGACCTTCAGCTTGCTCAAGGCTGGAAAAAATGGACCAGATTTTATTAGATTAGACTGGATGAAATGGTTCTGCAATAAATACTGTCATCAAATGAAAGTGAAGAGAGACAGAGAGTACATTTTAAGTCTGGAGGTTGGAAATAAGTTCATACTAAAACCAAAACTGTCGATGCAAAAATAAATTAACTGAATTAAAGGAAGAGACTAAAGGTACACATTAAATTTCTACTTTTTCACTGAATAACTAAGGATGTTTTTTGCATAATTTCCAATATCCAGTGAAAGACAAACATTGCTAACATGACAACGTTAGAGAAATGATAATACAGTTTGTTAACATGAAAAACTGCATGTATGAACACTACAGTTTTTAAATTTAGACATTTGCATCACTATACAAATCAGCGAAGCTCCAACATCCTCTACAGTCTACTGTGTGAATCAAGACAGATAAATGATCTCAACTAAGGGGCCGGCCCATTACGACCCATGGGCTGCTCGGGGAAACTGGAATTGATTTTCCTTTTCTTTTAGTAATGATTTTTGGGGGATTATATTGACAAAAACACACAATTTCATTATAAGATTGTGATTTTTATTTTTTTTTACAATAATATATATTTGATAATGTTTGTTGACATCATTCTTTATGTGGAAAAGTAGCAAAAAGAAAATAGAAATTGCTCTGGATGAAGCAAAGTGTAGCACAAAGGCTGGTTTTCACCAGGTTGCTGTCTTTATAGTGATGAGTGAATGGATCTCCCTACAAGAAAGGCCTTAATTTTCTGACAATAACAACCACTTCTACACAGACCTTATTTAATTGTATACAAAATGAAAGAATTTTATACTAGCGTGAAAAACAAGTTGTTTTTTTTGTTTGTTTGTTTATTGTCGATTTGAATGGCAGATTAGGATTAATCCTGCTTTTCAGTCCTTTTGACTTTATATGATTCTGAACAGCACCAAGCAAGTTCAGAAAAAGAAGACAAGGAATGACATGGAACTTAGACTGATGGTCATTTTATTTATTTATATTTTTATGCACTAAATCAAACTATAACTTACCCCTCATATCAAACCATTCTGACTGATTCCATCATCACATCCTGTTTATGTCAGTCCAGAAATACTACAGAAAACCATCTGACATTTAGGTTGACTGAAAGCTGATACTTTGATGCTCTCATCAGGACAAAATATCTTAGTAGAAAAATAATTCTTTCATGTCCATCGTTTTTGTCTGTACACTGCTCTGCTCACTGTACATACTAAACAACACATCTCATCCATTCTCATCAACAAGCCCGATACATTTTTACTTTTTTCATAATCTTTTTATATTCAGGCTGTTTGAACCTTAACCTTATTAATTTCATAATGCTTTATGATTGGTGACTTTTTAAAAGTACAGCAACATTCATATGGCTCTACATTGCATCTAATGAGATTACTTCACATATAATATTAGCATACTAGAACTTTGGGTTGACACATATTGCAAGTAAAAACCCACAAATACTTCTAACTGCCAAACATGAAGCCCAAAAATGATCACTGCTGATGTAGTGGAAACTGTAGTTGAACAGTCAAAACAATGAAGGATAGTTTATAAGAATAATGCATTAACAGAAACAAACCCACCAACTTTAACTGTCACTTTTGTTTACTTTCCAATTCTTGCTCAGAGTCACTGACTAAATTACCTGCAGTTCTACAACAGCATTATATTAAATGTTAAATTGTGTTCTCAGAGTTTCTCCTATCATTCATGTTGGGTTTATGGTGAATGTTTCTACCTGCTGATGTGTTAAGTAAGTCATTCAAGCTGATGGCACTTTAAAAAAAAGAATAGATCTGAAAACAAAACCAGACTCTATAAATTAGAAGTGTATTGAATGTGTTCTGGTGAGAGTACTTGCTCCAGCTCTTACCATGTGCTACCCAGCCATGTTTGCAGTTTTCACACTGCCTCCTCTTCAGCTTCCCAGGCTTGAAGCTGTCACAGTTACAGTTTACCAAGGTGCAGCAGATCGCCTGTATATTATAACAAGGACAACAACTTAAAAAGGGTGATACACAAAATCAGTACGTTTTTGTCTATGTCTAAAAACTTAATTATTGCTTTTTTGTTGGCATTTTTATTTATTTAAAATGAATCCAGAAGGCACACAAATAAATGTGGAAGAAAAAAACATGACAGCAGTCCTTTCCTGCTTTTCCTATGGAATGTGTTTGTATGCGTGTGTAATAGTTGCAGTTTTCTCTCTGCAAAGTGATATGTAAGTGACTAACAGAAGAACATGAATGCTTCAGGTGATTTGGTTTCTGGTTGTGGGTCGCTCATTTCTTAGTTTTCTGAGAACAGAAGAAGACTCGTTTCAGGATCACTGCAGGACCTGCCGTCTCCGCAGCAACAAGCAGACGCCAGACCCCTAGACACGCAAACATACATGCAGAGCATTCTGACTTTCAACCTTTCTGCCAACCTGTATAATGGTTAACACTGAAATTTCAGAAAGTCATATCAGAAAAGCTACTTAGACAGAACTGAAACAAACAGAAATAAAAGTGATGCCAATGCATAACAACAATGAGGTCATTGTGTAGCTGGACCAAAATTAAATTCTAATAAAATAATAATAATAAAAATAAAACATGTTTAATTTTTGAGTTGAAAAATATTCCAGACCAGGAACAGAGATAGCATCATCATACTTGTGATCAAAGCTACTTGTCTTGGTTCATGCTAGAAACCTTGGGATGGCTATACTCCAGCACCTCTCTCCCTCTGCATCTATAATAGATGATCAGTTGAGTTTTCGTATACATGAGCAGAATGCTTAGCTCCTTGCTGGATCTCTCTTGCCAGGCAGAGAAGGAATAAAGTGTGGGTGATGGGTTGTAAGCCGCCCCCTCCTCATTTAGTCAGTCACTTGGTTGTGTGATTGAAGCCGGGCCGGTCTTTGTAATCTGGAAGCACATGATTTCACCTTGCACCAACCTCTCATCATTAGTGTGAATAAAACTGACCAAGGATGAAGTTGGTGGCAGCTGCCTGGCCTTGATACACCACCAGTAACCTTCGGTCGTCAGATGTCCGCTGGCGTTGCTTTTTTCACCATCACTTTTTGCGTCGGGCCTGAAAAGCCGAGGTTCCTCAGCTCAACTGCTGAGGTGTAAAAACACCTTTTCTCATCTCACAGAGTCTTAATCCCATCATTACAGAGCGGCCAGACCTAACACAGCCCAATTAGACTAATCCTGTCCCTCTGTGGCTGCACACACACCCTGCTGCTGCTCCCCCCAATGTACATCTCAATCAGGTGCTCTGCACTCCCACACACACATACACACACATAAATTATAATTCAGTGTGCTTGCAGTTGTTTTGTCTTAATTAGTGATTCATTTCATGAGTTCCTGAGAGGAAGACAAAGAAGGAGAAAGAGAAGATGAAGACAGGGATGATGTATGGCAGCCAGTGCCCTGCCCCGTCTCCTTCTTTTTGCCATTGTCACAACAAAGCAGTAGCTGTTCGTACGCATCAATGAAGCCAACGACAAGAAGACTAATTGCACAAAATGATGCAGGTCCTTCAGCACTCAAAGCCATAGCTAACATGGTGCAGTGTTCTTTACATCACTGATGTTCATCAGAACCCCCCACCCCCTCTCTCCGCCCCTGCACTCCCATTCACCTTGATCACTTTAAACATGTCTGATTAACAGTACCACCAATCACTGACATGTCTACAGGTTGTTTAACAAATGACAATCAGTGATGGCAGTAAATCTGTGATGAATGAGAAAAAAAAACGCAACAATGCAGAACTAGAATGGTTGGGCAAAGTATCACTGTTAGGCACAAGCAGTGTTGATAATTTCTAGTCCATGCAATATCCTAGTGTGTACCACTTATTTGTGACTAAAATATGCGTGTGCGCGTGGGTCTGAGACTGAAATCCTGCTTAAGACGTGGAGAAATAAAATGCCATTTGTCAGTACCTGTTCTGTGTTTCATGCTCTGTGGAGTCCTGGCCTTGACCTTAATAAATGTCTTTGTCTCCATAATTTTTTTATGTGTAATAAGTTACGTATTGGCCAATTTTATTCCAAAGGATTAGAATTATCTTTTTATCTAAGTTGAAAAAGTTTCCAGAATTTTTCTGCCTCTATGCTGCTAATCTTAAAGTTTTTGGTGGTTGTGTCTTTGTCGCAGGCAAAAGCTTCCTTTCTGAGAGACTGCACACAGGTCATAATGTGTAGGACGGATGGATAGCCGGAGAACATGGTAGATTAAAAACTAGTGTCGAAGGTGGAAAAGGCAGAGATGGCATAAAAAGTCTCGGTGTATTCATGGCCCACCCAGAGCAAAGCGTGGTAAACAGAGAGCGCTGGTGATCGGACAGGAACTTGTTGGCCTAATGTGGTGGAAAGCTAATCAATTAACAGCAGCTTCACACCTTTGTCTCTGTGGGGAAACAGAGGTGATGAGGCCAAAGAAAAAATGATCCCAGAGTAACTGGCAGTTCAGAGGAACAGTAATACTGACACAACCACACACATTTACTGCCAATCTATTGGCAATTAAACATGCAACAGAAACATTTTATTACATTTTAAAAATGGGTTTTGATAGTTTTGCACAGCTGAACATTCTGGTATAAAACATGGAACTTAATAGAAAGTTCTAGATATTTTTACATATTTCTACCATACATACACGGCAATCCGACAAATGATAAAACCAAACTGTTTTGAGTGATGATATAAAATGTTCATTTCTGAACCATCTTGAGGCTGTTATGTGTCAGAAAGCTCATCCTATTAAAAATGTTGTGTCAAATATCAATTATATATTTAAATTTAAATAACAATCTGTTTAAATTTTTACATTTTATCCAGACTTAAAATGTCACTTAAATCACATTCAAGTAATCATATTATGACATTGTGGAGAAAATGTCTATTTTTCTGCATAAAAATAATTTTATGATTTAAAAAAAAGAAATAATACTTTCAGAAACATTATTACCATCCTTTAAATGAGAAGTAGAACTTGCCGCCAGAAATTTACTGTACTGAAATGTAAAGTGCAGCTGAAGTCAAGTGGTATTTCGTTCTACTTTTGTCACAGATGGGTCGCCGTAACAAAAACCCTGTGCTTTACTGTAACCGTTTTAATTTATATACATAAAAAGCCATTCAGCCTGTCTGTCTCTGACCTGCATAACAACTACATAAAAACTGAGGAGAAAAAAAAGCTATGATGGTAGTCAAAAAGATAAAAAAGAAAAACAAAGAGAAGAAGACAAAACCAGTGAAAGCATGGGCAGCAGCAAGTAGTGACAGGCTGCATTCATGCCTGTTAAGAGTCCATACAGCCTAAAGACAGCGTGAAAAACTCATTATTTCAAACTCATCCTGCAGTCAATCACAAGCCGACACGCACAAATCAATCTCTACATAATCCACAACAAAACAGATAAAACACAGCACAGGTTTACCTGAAGATCCATGAGAAAAACGCTGGCCTCTGCACAGAAACAAGTTTGAAGGAGACAAAAATGTGAGCGCAAGGATGGAAGAAGCCAGCCAAAGTTTGGATGGCTCTCTGGTTTTGGTTGCTTGCCGTTAGGAACACGGAGGGAGTGTTTGGCTCAGAGAAAGTAAATGAGGGGAACATGTTAGTACACTGACTCTGATAGAGTTTGGCTTCCAGCTATGCTCTGATTAATATCAGATCTCCCCCTCTCTGCGCCTGCCTCTTGACAATTTTGTCACATCTGGCTGACAAATCCTTACAAGCCTTTTGGTGGCAGCGTAGAGCATATGCAACGAATGGACACACACCCACACACGCACACACACAGTGTGGAGCTTAGTGTGTGGGTTTTGGGGGTGTTACAAAGTTAGTCTGGGGCCAGCAGGGGCAGATCACAGCTCCAGGAGACGCTCAAGGGGGTAAAAGGCTGGAGCAAACATGCTCCCAGCCCCCCAACAACCCCTCTCAGACGAAACATCACAAAGCTAATGTAGCTGATGAAGTTCACACTGACGTCGGCCACTTCGCTCATCCAACACCAAAAGAACCTACATAGAAGAAGCAAACCAAGGATCATCTCCATCTGAATGAACAAGGGGCGCACGTTTGAGTCCTTCTCTAGTTATCTCTCTTTTATGGCTTGTGTGTGTGTGTCTGTGTTTGTATGTGTGAATACAGTGGAAGAGAAGACTTTAATTAAAAATAGTTCATAAAAGCTGGAAAGAGTGAGATCACAGCAGGAATAAAAGATAGGAGGCAGCTGTAGCAACATTTCACACACATATAACGACTGTGTGAACTGGAGCAAAATTAAACTTTCACTCATCAAAGTGGAAAAGCCAGCCTTGTGACCAGAATGCATTTTGTTTTTCTTGTGTTTTTATGATTTTGGAGGTCAAAGGGATATCACAGAAATTCTGTAAAATTATAAGTATTTCTGAAAATAATGTGAAGAAAAAATATCATATCTTCATGGCATTTCTAAACAAAATGTTTTAATAATGAACCATATCTAGAATTTGAATTATAATATTTTAAATTTGTAAGTGAAGAATGAAATGTGTTTCAGAAGAAGAAGAAATATTTTATTTCCAGTAATAATTTCAACCTTTTCTTCAAAATTCTTTGATCTGCTGTGCACTAATCTGACAGCAAACATACCGTACATGCACATAAGCAGTGACTCACTACAACGCAGATAACTCAGAGATTTTTTAATTATGTCAACATTCAAACATTTTAAACACATTAAAAAACCGGCTGCGCTCAGAGGCCAGAAGGCAACAGGAGGTCAAGTGGCTCTGCTTCCCCAACTGCAGGCCGACTGAGAGACGATCTGGAGGATAACGACCAGACACAGGTAACAAGTCTGTGTGTTGCACTCCTCTAGCTTACAAAAAAAGATTCCTATCAGCAGTAAGTCTGTAAACACTGACCTGAACTGGTGCTGACCATAGAACATTGCCATACTAAAGAAATACATAACTACAAAATCATGTATTACACATTTAGTGAATGAATGAATGGAAAATACAGAGCAGAGAGAGTAGATTACATTTAGTCAGAGACAAAAAAAGAACATTATTATCCTGCTTCTTTCTGTCACCTTTGGTTATTTAACAGTTTTTTCAACAAAATGTTGACGATCTGAACCCAATTTACACATATATTCTCAACTTATATATATATATATATATATTTGTCTCTTTTTGGTATCTAAAATTTTACAAGAGTAAGAATATCTAACAAAGAAAGAATTGAACATTTTTAAAGACTTTAAAAATAAAGTCCTAAAAGTGAGCTGCATCAATCAGATACTTCTTTCGTTTTATTCTTTTCTAGTTAGAGAAATTATCATTTTAAGGAAGCATTTGCTGTTTGATAAGTTGGCATAAGAACAAGTTTTTAATAAATAATGTTCTTTGTAAAGAACCAAAACTGAGTTCCAACACTGATGTCAAAATAATGTGCAGTAGTACACCTCCCCAGGATCGCTGACAGATATAAAATCCTCTGTTACAAAATGTCCAGATTTCTCCTGAAACCTGTCCAGACCACACCATTCCAGTTTTAAACTCAAGCAAATCCTGATCATGTGTGCAGGCATATTGAGAAGTGCCAGAACTGACAGAAAGTAGAAATGAAAAGCAGTTTGTCTCTTACCTCGGCCATTGTCATTTAATGGGATGTTTCCAAGGATACGGAGGAGTTTGCCATTCTCTGAGAGTTCCACAAAACAACTGCCTCCAACTCTCCTGTCCGCACAAGTACAAAAGCAAAAGAGCTATCACTTCCAGCAGCGTCTCCTTCAGCAACAGACACACACGCTTCCTTCTTCTCTCATAAGAACATACACACCCTCATGCACACACTCATACACACACTCATGCACAGCTACATGCGCTTGCCCAAAAGGAAAAAAAAGTCACTATGCTTTATTCTGGAAGCACAGATGCACATGTGCCTTCTCTGCGTTTCGCCCCTAATGTTGCAGTGGACTCCCACTAAACTACTCGAGATGTTTAGTGTGTGCATGCGCGTGTGCGGCGTGTGAGTGTGTGTGTGTGTTGAAACTGGGCACAGGGGATTGGAATGAGATCCTCCCACTCAGCATTCTCACCTCAGGAGCTGCCTGCTCCCTCCCTAGCTTACACAGAATACACACACAACTGTACACGCACAGAGGTGTGTGTCCTTTCACGCGCACAGACTTAGACATGGTTACCCCCTCCGAGTCACAGGGCAGTCCCCTCACAGCTGGCTGGAAGAGGGCATGACACTCATCTTTCACAGAGATTTGATCAAAAGGAATCACAAAGGCTAGAGGCTCTCCTAATGCAGCCAGGGGAGACCCCTCCCTACCACCCTCTCCCTTGCCTCCTCTCTCTGAGTAATGCCCTAAATCAACGGTGCCCCTCTCGATGCACACAGCCCAGTGTGTGTGCCTGCGTTCACCTTAACACAGCCCTGTGAAGAGCCTCTGTAACAAGTTATGCCTTGTGCTGTCAGGAATGTGTAGGTGTCTGTGTTGAGCATTTTTAAGCAAGAGGGAGACTTCACACATTACACACACTCCATCTCTTATCTTTAAGAGATGGAGCAGCCCACTCTGCTTTTAGAGCCGAGAAAATGATGTCATATATTGTCATGTATAACCAAAAGATGTTAACAACTGTTAGTGAATTTAAAAAAAAGTTTAACAATAAAAACCAACAGACAAAAAAAACAACTGATAAAAAATCTTAATACATCTCTCATATTAAAAAAAAAAAAAAACTACAGTATCCATGGCAACAATTAGATTTTCTGTTTGGTGGGCTGTAGTGAATGATTGTGGAACATGTTACAGAACACATTCATAAATGGTAACATTCCATATGCATGTTTATGTCACTTAAACCAAACTGTAAAAATAGTATAATTATCTGAATTAATATATAATTCAAAACTAAATAATTAGTTCTCCTCAAATAAAAAAGTGAGCAATTAAAGGTGGAAAGTGACTGTGGGTCTGGATGAGATCCTGGATGAGGTTGTGGAGAGGAGGATGGATCTTAGTTCGCCTGAGCAGCAGAAAGTATTTTTGGACATGAACATGTTGAGTGAAACTTTGAACCGAATCAAACTATTTCTATATTCCATACCAAAATGAGTGCAGCTCATCCTGATACCAATAAACAGCAGTCTGTTTGGGGTGAATGACAAAGATATATTGCACTTCTAGTGTAAACATTGGGACAGGAGGTGTGGTGTACTCCTTTATGTTATTTATTCAGGATCTTTTTGCTATCTCCTCTAATCTTCTGCAGACCGATGGGCCTTGTGGAGGCCAGAGCCTGGTCCTAATGCAGTCGACCCTTTGACAAATTTCAGTTTTAGCACACAGTTTAAGAGTATAACTTTAATGATTTAACAATATAAACTGCAGAGTTCATGGTCAGCCATAAGCACTAAAGGATTAAGATGGTTTCTTTTTGGCTCACTTTTGTTCTCACTGAATGCTCTACAGTGACCGGCACAGGAAACTGCACCTTAATGCAGACGTGTAGTCAAATGACCTCAAACAAAATCAGGATTTAATTGAACAGGAACACCAAACCACACTAACCAATGTTTTATCAGAAAGAACATTTGGAGAGTCGGTTTCTGCTTCCTGAACCAGAACTGATTTCGCCAGAAATTATCTTGAATATTCAATGTTCTTCTTCCTCTAAACTCTGAAGTATGACTAAAGTGAGATTACTATGTTATTAGTCTGATTCTTTATTCCTTAATAGCAAGGACATAGTCTTACTTTCTTATTTAAGGAAGGAGTAAAATAAGCTTCCTGAAAAGATCAACATTAAAGATAATGAGTTCATCTCCTGTAACGTCCTCCCTTCTTATTGATGGGTTTCCAGGCCAGTTTTCTCATCCTTTCTGCCTGTTTTCCCCTGAGCAGCAGAGGGAAAGCTCAGATGATTTCAACCATTAGAGGCAACTGCTAATCCACAAATTACGTAGCAAGTTTGGACAAGTATGTCTGAAGTACTCTACCTGTGAAGGCAAAAAAGAAGGGAGTGGGGGCTGGGGACGCCACCATAGCGGAAAATCTTAAAACATTTTTTTTTTAGAAAAAATTATTTCAATTGACTTTTTCTCATTTAGAATAAACACACCCTATATTTGCTTTGAAAAGTTTCTTTCTTTGCCAACTGGGGGAGGTTTAGTGCCTTGCTCAGAGGTAAATAAATCAGCTGAAATGCTGTGAGGTAGAAAAGAGACTTACTAACCCACTTTCTCCACCCACCTTCTTCCTCAGAGCAAAACTCTCCAATCAGAAAGCTGTTTTTTCCCACCTCAAGGGTAGATACACGCCCTGAATTCACATTCAAAAATTTGCCAAGTATCCTTGCTGCCAGATAAAAATGCAGCTAATGGCCCTTAAAGTCTGACATTAAAACTACATTACTTTCCACAGGACATCAAAGCCGTTCTTATTTGTGAAAAGCCCTAAATGTTATGAGGTTACATATGAGGATAAGAGATATCCCGTCAAGGCGTGTATCTTAAGTTTGGAAAGCCCTTCACTCCCTGCGGTTGTTCATGCAAGCGGATCTACTTACTGGCCTTGTATTTATTCCATACCTAGGGGATGCATACCAAACACAGCCCCAGACCTGGCCTGGATTAGGTCTGTGCAGCTTGTCAGATTGCTGCTCTCTGGGAGGGAGTACCACAGACGTATTTGTGCCTTGGGGGCTCAGGGTGAAAGCTACAACTAAAACCACAGCAAATCAACTCCATGTGCAGCAGAACAGGTCACACTGCCTACTTACATATCTATCATTAGCCTTCCTGAAGGGCACAGGAGAAGTGGACGGAGTACTTGTAGAGATGAACAGAAATACACACACACACCTTCACACTTTGTTTTGGGGATGAAGCCAATTCAGATCTTCACTAGGTTAGGCTACCTGACCTGTATTTTACAGATCTGTCATAACTGTATGGTATTTTATTTGACTAGTTTACCTTCAAAATGCTAAATCAACCATTGAAAAGGCAGAATTAAACTGCACGTCTTGGAATTTTCCTGTTTCCAGAGATATAGAGAAACGGAGGGAATGTTTGTAAAATACATTGTAGTTTACAAATGATGATGTGCATTTAATAAAATTTTATTTAACAAATTAAATGCAAAAAAAAAAAAGGATATTTGTATGTAAAATATTAAGAGAAAAAAACTTACAAGGTAAGTGTCTAATTCTGGGGTTATTATTTATGTTGTGTGTATTATTTAGTTATTTGAATGTTTTCATCACAACTCTAAAATGTCATAAAATTGAAACGTAAACCAGCTTTTGCTCTGGCAAAAAATTATGGAGAGAAATTTTGATATAGTTTTATTTTATTTTCTTAGTTCAAATCTTAATGAACATAACAACCATTAGAACATGCACTTATAATGGCTTTATTATAAGCAATACATAGGTTGGATAAAGGAATTAATCATAATCCTCAATAACACGCATGACAATATTATATATATATATATATATATATATATATATATATATATATGTATATATATATATATATATATATATATAATTTTAAAAAATTTGTCTAAAAAAAAATTCCCTTCTCACCCACCGCGGGTGGTTCTTATCCTCTGAGCTCGGGTCCTCTACCAGAGGCCTGGGAGCTTGAGGGTCCTGCAGTATCTTGGCTGTGCCAAGGACTGCACATTTCTGGACTGAGATGTCTGATGTTGTTCCTGGGATCTGTTGTAGCCACTGCTCCAGTTTGGGGGTTACTGCCCCGAGGGCCCCGATGACCACAGGCACCACTGTGGTCTTCACCTTCCAGGCCCTCTCCAGTTCCTCCCTGAGGCCCTGGTATTTCTCTAGTTTCTCGTGCTCCTTTTTCCTGATGTTGCAATCACTTGGTATTGCTACATCTACCACAGCGGCTTTCCTCTGATGTTTATCCACTACGACAATGTCTGGTTGGTTCGCCATTACCATTTTGTCTGTCTGGATCTGGAAGTCCCACAGGATCTTAGCTCTGGCATTCTCCACCACCTTTGGGGGTGTTTCCCACTTTGATCTCGGGGTTTCCAGTCCATATTCTGCACAGATGTTTCTGTACACTATGCCTGCCACTTGGTTATGTCGCTCCATGTACGCTTTCCCTGCCAGTATCTTGCACCCTGCTGTTATGTGCTGGACTGTCTCAGGGGCCTCCTTGCACAACCTACACCTTGGGTCTTGTCTGGTGTGGTAGATCTGGGTCTCTATTGCTCTGGTGTTTAGGGCCTGTTCCTGGGCGGCCAGGATGAGGGCCTCTGTGCTGTCCTTGAATCCAGCTTTTTCCAGCCATTGGTAGGATTTACTGATATCAGCCACTTGGGTTATTTGCTGGTGGTACATCCCATGTAGGGGCTTGTCCTCCCATGATGGTATCTATACATATATATATATATATATATATATATATATATATATATATATATATATATATATATATATACATATATATATATATATATATATATATATATATATATATATATATATAATATATATATGGCTGACTGGATAGCTCAGGCTGACTGGATAGCTCAATACATAAGGCATCAGTATATCACCCGAGAGGGCAGGGTTCGAATCCAGTCTGGGTCCTTAGGCAAGACCCTTCAAGCTACTGCCTACCTCATACCATGAGAGATACTAAGTTGCATAACATGCCGGCTCAGACGTCGCCCGGCCAAACAAGGTCTGCGTCAGGTGTTGGGGAACCAGAGCACCTTGATGACAAATGGGCTACTGGAACAAGACGGAAATGGGCGAGAGATGAAAATGTGGATCTGTTGGAATGCTACTACTCAAGTAACCCTAGTGAGAGAGGTTACATGCAAAGACTGGGGAAGGAATGGTTACTTCGACATCCCCAGTCAACACTAAGCGCTAAACAACTAGTAGCTCAGTGTTCCAACATCCGCAAACGGCAACTGCTATCA